ATCAAATTTCGATAACTTCTTTCTTTATCACATTTCCAATATATATCAATAAAAATCATTTTTATTAAAATACAAAATTCCAATAATTGCTGTTTATATCGTGTAAATGGTCAACATGATTTTTTTAAAGGATTTAAAAATATGCATGCACAAACTTTCAATAGTGGACGATACATTGGAAGCACTCGGGACACCAAAAGAATATCAACGATTGCATAATTGGATAATACGAATAATAATCGGATGGATTGTGTTGTCCTTGATAATAACGGATGCGATGGACATTTTTTTCTGGGGTTTCAATAATTTCAATATCGCTACAATATGTGCTCCATTTCTGGAAAATCATTTTTACAATGTCAATAATTTAAGTTCTTTGATTTGGGCATCTATGTTACGGTGGGTATATATGTATATTTACTTCGTAAGCTACTTTTCAGCAATGATGCAAGGGACAAAAAAAATGTTTTTTTATATTATGCTCACAACCAATGTAATCTGAAAGAATTAAAAATCAATGAAAATCTGCTCTTTAAAATATTTTGAGAATTTTTTATATAATTTTAAATACTAGCACTACAGACGTGCGCTTCGCGGGTACTATATTTAATATATTTAATATATTTAATATATTTAATATATTTACTTTTTACTATACCTTGCTAATGTAATATATTACATTAACCTCAATACATACAACTGTCAAAATATGCAATTAGTGCAGCGTTAACCAATTAACATCGCGGAAAAGAGTCAATAACAAACTTTAAGACTTTCGGGATGGTTCGATAAATCGATTTATACATGCTTTTTTTATTGTTGGATACGAAAATTTTGTCAGTTAACATTATTATTGTAAAGCACGCACTATAAATTAGTCTAAATAGAATAACAATAAAATTATATTCATTATTACATGTATAAAAATATGTGAAATACATATCTCTAAAGATATATGAAATACATTAAAACATAACATATAAAAAACAAATTCTTATTTAGTCTGTGACTTTAATTGCTAAATAATAATTCATATAAATAAAATCTATTTATATGATGTATATATAAGTCATAATTTTAATTAAAGGTATAATTGTATTTTTCCGTTAAATTCAGATGCATAGGCTCGAGGTTCCAACGAGTCAATGAGCGTATTCTTATACTATATTCTGATTTGTTAGAAGACTTAGAAGACAATCCAGATTGTACTAGAAGACCAAATCAATTGATCGTAATCAATCAGCAGAAAATAGAAGCTAAAAAACGCATTCAATATATGTGGATTTTAATGTAATTTAAAAAAAATTATAGCATACACACACACAAATTTTAAGTTTAATTGTGTCATGTTATCGTACATTGTTAGCAGACTGCAAATTGTAAAATTTGAATTAAATTATAACAATTTAATTACAGGCACGTCCACCTACAGTTATCCCTTATATCGCGCAAACTGAACAAAATATTCAGTCTACAAATGTCACTACAAATGTTATGTTATTTTGTATGCATTCTAGAGTTTTTTCGAGCAATTTATTCGCTCTATATAGAGAAAAATGCTGCAGAAATGAACTTTAAAATTATTTTATTAATTCTTAATATGGACTTTATTGTGTATAATGTCATATTTTTTACTTTAAATCATGTCTGTCAAACTGTCTATTATCAGGTACAATACATAATAATATCAATTAAATCATTAATATTTAATGATAACTAATTTAATATACACTAATATAATACGCAACAATTTTGCTACAATGATATTAATATGTTTTTATTTAAATTATGTGATCTTATTCGTTCAGTAAGAAATGTTCAATTTTACAGCAAGCTTTAATTAATATAATTTCAGGTAGACGAGACAGTAAAAGTTCTTTATAAATTGTCCAATTGCAATCTTGATGAAGATTTTTGTAACCAAGTAAATAATTATCACATAATTTCATATAAAATATTAATTATTCTATGTATAACTGCATAATTAAATATTTATTAAATTGTTTATTCAAATTCAGATTTTACAATTTATATTGCAAATAAAACAAAGGGAGGTAAAATTTGGCATGGGACTTCTCTATCTTGGTTATAATTTCATTCTCCAGGTATGTCCTATAAAATTATATAAGCACATATAATGCAGAACTGAAATATACATATATTCAATCGGTAAATATTGAGTATAGGGAAACTAGTTGTTTGAGCTTAATGAAATACGCAGGTTTTCACAGGTAATAAGTATATATTTCGTAATAATACAAAGAGACTTTCTTAGAGGAAAGAAAAGATGTCTGAGCACTCGAAAGTGTGACGAACAACCAGAAAGTAAGAAGTATATA